CAATTACGTGGTTTTATTTCTGAACCCTATTTGCTTAAAAGGAAACCCATGGATATGTTTGTTTTTATTTTAAAGAATAATTGGCTATAACCTTATGTGAAAATATGTTTTGTGAATACCACCACGGGAGTCCCATGCCTTGGGGGACTTAAATAACTATTGGCTTAGTTATTGACCACTTTGTGGCCCAGTGTTTGTCATGGATCCATTGACCAGTATAGTGCTAGTCACTTAGTGATGTACCGTAGTTATAGTGATTATTTCAGTTTCTGACACTTAATTAAATTGTGTATACAACTCAACTCCATTTATAATGTTTTAGTTTAAATAAATATCCATGGCCACTTTGTGCCCTCATAGTGTAATATTTCTCACTCTGCTATGTGCTTATAGCTGTTACCCCTTTCAGGTGACGAGGTTTAGCGGGATCAAGATGGAAAATGAATCGCTATGTTATTTTTTTTTATTTTTTTTAGATTTCTGTCTTCTATTATTAAACTCTTGTAATACAGTGAAGCTCCAATGACTATGTTTTATTACCTTTTAAGTAAACGGTTGGTACCCAGTTATTTATTTTAATTTATTTAATTTATCCGCTTGCGCTGTAACTACAGAATTATCCGAATCACTTTATTTTATTTTATTTATCTTGTTACGACATTAAACCTTTGGGTACCGGGTTTGGGTCGTGACAACTAGTCTCTTATGTTTGATTGTCATTAGTCTTTTGACTTTGTGTACAATCATAAGTTCTTTTCTGTGAACTTAATTCCTGTCAATTCTTGTAAGGAAAGACATGTTCAAAAAACACAGCATTCCTCGACTCTATAATAGTGCTCACATTTATATTAGGTATTTCTGATTTATAAGTCAGAAACCGATATGCACTACTATTCTGAGCATAACCAATAAACATATAATCCATTGTTTTTTGTCCTATCTTAGTCTTTTTAGGAACAGGAACTTCTACCTTTGCCAAACACCCCCACACTTTTAAATATTTGTAGGAAGGCGGTCGACCTTTCCATAATTCATAAAGAGTGTTATTGGTTTTCTTGAGGGCTATTCTGTTAAGAACACAATTAGCAAATAATATTGCTTCCCTTCACAAGTTTTACGGTAAACCTGAACTTAGTAACATGGCATTCATCATTTCTTTAAGGGTTCTATTTTTCTTTTCAACAATTCTATTTTGCTGTGGGGAATAAGGTGCTGTAGTTTGGTGAATAATGCCATGTTGTGCAAAAAAATTCATTTTATGGTACATCATATTCACCACCCCTATCACTTCTAACCATTTTAATAGTTTTACCAAGTTGATTTTCAACTTCAGTTTTGTAGAGTTTAAACATTTCTAAGGCTTCATCTTTACTTTTAAGTAAATATACATAACAATATCTTGTGCAAATATCGATAAATGTTATGAAATATTTTTTGCCTCCTCTAGTTTGAACAAATTTAAGATCACATACATCATTATGAATTAATTCTAGAGATTTAGTCTTTCTTTCAACCAATTTAAATGGAGCCTTAGTTAGTTTAGCTTCTACACAAATCTCACATTTGTGATTAGGATCAATTTCAAAATTTGGTATATAATCCAAGCCAATTAATCTACGCAAAGAATCAAAATTTACATGTCCTAATCTATCATGCCATAAATTTGACTCAAGAATATAAGCAAAAGATGTGTTATTCTTATTAATTGCAAGTTTTGGTACAGCCGTAATTACATTCAACTTGAAGAGACCATCACCCATGTATCCCTTACCAACATACATACCACTTTTTGTTAATACAAATTTATCAGACTCAAATACAAGCCTAAAACCATTTTTACTTAACAAAGAACCAGAAATCAAATTCTTCCGAATGTCAGGTACATGCAGTACGTTGTTAAGGGTAAGTTCTTTCCCTGATGTCATCTTCAAGATCACATTTCCTTGTCCAGCCACAATAGAAGGACAAGAATTTCCCATGAAAAGTTGTTCACCGTTTGTAGCCTCGTTATAAGTAGTGAACATCTTCTTGCCCGCACAAATGTAACGAGTTGCCCCAGTGTCAACCCACCATTCTTTGGGATTTCCAACCAAATTAGCCTCAGACACCGTAGCAGAGAGATTGATGTCATTTACCCCGTCAGAGATGTAATCTGATTCTGTCACATTGGCCTGATTAGTGATCTTCTTGCTTGTACTTCCGCGATCCTTCTTAGGGCGGCGATAATCGGAAGCTCGATGTCCAGTCTTGCTACAGTTATAACAGTTTCCTTTGAACTTCTTATTGCCATTGTTGTCGCCTTGTTTAGGACCATCTCCAGCAAACTTCCTCTTTTTGTTATGTGGTTTGTGTACTTGTTCAATCACATTAACGTTGGACTCAATGAGATTTTTATCATTCCTCTTTTCAGCGTTCCGGTTATCTTCCTCAATTCTCAGTTTTACAATAAGTTCATCCATAGTCATCTCTTTGCATTTATATTTTAAATAATTTTTGAAATATTTCCAAGCTGGTGGTAATTTTTCCACTAACGCAGGGACTTGGAAAGACTCGTTCAGAGACATACCCTCAGAATGAATATCATGTAAAATTAATTGAAAACTTTGAACTTGAGAAATTACCATCTGCGAGTCTACCATAACGAAGTCTAGAAATTTACCGACAACAAATTTCTTTGTGTCGGCATCCTCTGTCTTGTATTTTTTCTCCAAAGAATTCCACAATTCTTTGGCTGTTTTTCAGAGGGCTGTAAACATTATACAGCATGTTGTCAAGGCCATTCTTGTATTTTTCCTCTAAAGAATCTCACAATTCTTTTGTTGTTTTAAGAGAACTGTAAACATTATATAGCAAGTTGTCAAAGCCATTTAGGATGTAGTTTCTGCATAGGAAATCAGAATGTTTCCAGGTGTCTATAGCGGCAACAACTTGCTGATCATATCCTCTTTAAGCATTGGAGCCTCATCACGGAGAAACCAGACATGATTAAGAGTTGTTAAATAAAACAACATTTTCTGCTACCATCTTTTAAACTCTGTACCGTTAAATTTTTTTGATTTTTCTCTACGATTTATTGAAACTTGAACACGATTCTGGATAGGGACTGGAGTCGGTGTAACAATTAGAGTACCACTTTTAGTTGCAGTAGCCATAATATCTGATTACAAAAATAAATAAATAAAACAAAACGCAAATTAATTTTCTAGTTACTAAAACCAAAATATAAATTACAACACAAAATAATTTTACTTTTTCTAGGTACTAAAACCAGAAAAATAAAATAGTACACACTAATTTTCTGTAACACTATTACACAAATTAATATTTTGAAATTGTTAATGACAAACAGTATATTACTACTATTTGTCAAAGAAAATAAACAGTATATTATTACTATTTGTATTTTCCAATCAGAATATAACTTTGTAAAAGTATAGAAAATAAATACAACGAAGATATAAATTCTGTCTTAAGATTGTTGGACAATCTTCACTCTATTCGAAGAATAAAAGAAAGGAGAGAAACTGTTTGATTACAAAAATCAAACTAGTAAAGAAAATAAAATAAAATAACAGATTCTTATTTTGTTACAAAAACAAAATCATAATCTGAAAAAATAAATAAAACATAAAGTAAATTAATTACTAACCTTATTTATTTATTGAACAAAATTATGATCAAGTCCAGTGTTTAATATTGTGTCCTTAAGACAGATTTGTCCTCTCTACGGTGTTTTCAGATTGCGGACGTCTATCTCCCAAAATAACATGATCAACAACGAATAATAGCAGCACTACAAATTATTTGCACAATGAACACAATTTATGTTTACACTCTTTCTCACAAAAAAATAATGCAGCAAAATGCAGAGATAGTAAAGTAGAATTTGAGGACGAAAATTCAGTTAAAAAAACAAATAAGGGACTTGTCATATTTATAGATGATTGGTGGTTGTTTGGTTTAAAATTAATAGGTACAAAACCTGTTTGAACATGTATTGAATCTATTCAGGACAGATAAAATAGTTAAGGCACTGTTTGGTTTGAAATTTAAACAAATATTGAATTTGTCTGGTTTTAATTCAAACAGATTAGAACTTGTTGGATAGATATGAAACTGTACACTAGACAGAATTGAATTAATCTGTACAGAATTTGAAAAGGCGCAAACACATTTGAATTCAAAAATTGAAGACATATTTTATTTTACCAAAACATAGAATTAAATTCAAATGTTTTTGGCCCAAAAAAGTAGGTATTAATTCGGACAAGCCCAACCCAACCACACACAAGCCCAGCCCAGCCCGCTCGACGAGGCGGTGGCGCGCGCGTGTGTTTATTTTTGGGTCCAATGAGTCTAGCCCACTTTGCCCATAACCTCCCTCTCTACAAAACTTGGGTACGCCTTAGGGCCTACCCCAAGTTCCAAACTCATGCCTTATAAACCCACAAAATTCTTCCCACCAAACCAATGTGGGACAAGCCTTAAACCATACCTTTAAGAAATTTCCACCAAAACTCCATTTCCATGGAGCTTACTTTGGCTTCAATTTTCCATTCATCTGATAATGGTTTTGAGTTACCAAATATACCACGTGAATCACAACGCGGCATAGAACGTGTTACCACTTTGACCCGCGAAATTCGGCGCATGGGTCCCACCTAAAAATTAGACCAAAGTTTTGAAAAAATTCTGTTTTTCAGATTTTTTTCAAAAACCATTTCTAACAAATGTAACCAACATAATAATCTTTTCTCTTTTGTTGCGCTGTGCTGTGTTTGATTTATGGATATGGATTTGGGTAACAAATTGAAAAGAAAATGGGTACGGATTTGGGTAACAAATTGAAAAGAAAAAAAAGATAGGCCAAATGTAAATAAAATATAACTATATTTTACACATATTCTTCATTTGTTTTTCCAAATCTGTAATCACAATCATAAAGTTACGAAATCTTGAAACTTCTATTTAGGTTGGTTGGTGGGTTTCTCTTTTCTTACCCTGGGGTTGTTGTCGAGCTGATTGTGATTGTTGGAGGTGTCTTCCATAATAAGAACAACAAGGTCTTGCTCACCATTGTTATAGCACCAGTGTGCTACTCCGGCTGGCAGTGCAATGATGTTACCTTCTCGGAGGTGGCTGATCTTTTGATGTTGGTCTTGGAATCTACGGCTTTGCCGTTCTTGCGATTGTTGAGATGATTGGAAGGTTTTGGGACAACCAGGCATCATGATCCCCTGAATACCCTTACCTACACATAAAACAAGATATACCAAAAAAAAAAATTTAAATGCACAAAAGTAATTTCACGAGTAGAACATAAATAAAAGATAAAAAGTGAAAGCGTTCCATCATTTTGTCTCTTGTACAACTGTCTCCAATTAATGGAGCGAAATCAGAAAATTTAAGAATTAAATAAACGAAATTGATAGTTTAAAGATGAATATAAAACTGGTGATGGTTAATAAAAGTGAAATTAACCCGGAAGATAATATTGAGGCACCTCGGAGAATGTAGATGAGTGAAGGAGCATTGGTGTAAGAAGGCAAGAGAAGGCCTTGTGGGTTGATAACATTGCGACAAGCAGCAACACCAACATATTGGAATTGGTCATCATTTGAGTCCCAGAACTTAGTGTACCCATGTAGCTTGCTTTTCGTTCTCCTTTCGGATACGACTAGCTTGATAGTGTAAGAGGGCAAGAGAAGGCCTTGTGGGTTGATAACATTGCAACAAGCAGCAACACCAATACACTAGAATTAGTCATCCGAGTCCCAAAACTCAGTGTACCCATGTAGCTTGCTTTTCGTTCTCCTTTCGGATATGAATAACCCTAAAGTTCTGACTCCCGTAGTTCTGAATCTGATTTCACAAGTGCAATGTGAAACAGTGGAAACACAAAAAAAGTCCAAATCTGGCAATTCTTTTGGAAAATTGATTTGAATAAAAAATGCTAAAAATGGACTGCGTTACCAGATTTCAGAGTCGCTACCTAAATATTTTCGAAAAATTTAAGAAACCGGTGACTCGTGCCAAAGGTCACTTATCTGTCATCACCAAAGTATCTCGGCTCGGGAACTTAGGTAATAGAGGGGAAGGTCATGAATTAAGCACCCCACTCGCCCGATCAAAGAACGGCCTCTACTAATCATGATGTGATTCTTATTTACATTATATGCTCTTATTTCGATTATTAGACTAACATTACTATGTGTTGCACACAAGTACAAACTAATTTGCAAAAGCTGGAACGCTTTGATTTCATATTTGTTTGAAAATTGTTTTTGATACTCGTCATTTCGAAATATGAGTTTGTATGTACATTAATCAACTTATCCCAATTTTTGCAATTAACCTTCATCCACAGGTAGTCAAAGAGTTATATTATTTAAGCATTCGGCCTCATGGAAAGCATGCTTGACATGGCAATAATCACACGCAATGCAAGATGCTAAAGTAATAAACACTCACCTAGTACTTCAAGGCAAGCCAATCAAAGCAAAATAATTTAAAAATATGCATGTTCCTAAACGATACAATGTGACTAATGCAACGCACACATTTATGCAATTTTTTAATAGGCTCGGCAACGAGCAGGGTATATGATCCAATTCAAGGCATGCGATAAATCACATCTTCAAGCAATGAATTTGACATTAACATTGGTTAGTATGATGAGCCGAACCCAAATACACATGAAACGAGTTTATGCAAACATGGGAATGTTAAATAAACATGATGCTCTATACTACCATTATAAGCGGGTGAATAAAAGAGAGAAAGAAATGTGGGTTGGAAGACATACAAGCTTATTACATACTTACCCTCGCGTAGGAGGGTACGAATAAATGTCCAAATATCTGGATTTAAACTAATTATTACAAATTCAAATGAATGAATTGAGCTAAACTAACTACCTATTATAAGTTTGGAACAAATAATAATTGAATAGTTAAACTATCTAATTTATTACAACAAAGGCATTATGATAATGAATAATAAACTAGCAATCTAAGTTAAATAGCTATGCAAGAACAAATAAACAATAATAATAACTACGACAATAATTAATTACAACAAAGCTAATAATTAATTACAACAATAATAATTATAACAAGGCTAATAATAAATAAATAAAAATTAATCTAAGCAATCATGAGATACAATGATTGCATGCACAATGCCCAGAAGCTGCTATGTCAGCCCTGATTGCTCAACCTCACTTTCAGCCACTGCCCTCTGTTTTCTGCGAAACACTTTGTTCATCAAGAATTGGGAGCCGGCTGGCTCCAAATAAGCTCCGGTCGGACCCAAAGAGTGCCGACCGGTACTAAATTTTATGCTAAAAAATGTTTTGTGCTCTGAGGTGAGAACAGTGCAGACAGAGCCTTTCTAGGCTCTGTTTGTCCTCTCTGTTCTTCTCTATCATGGAAATCCTCTAGAGAAGAACGAAGTCATTACCAAGACCATCAATGAGCAAGTTGATTGCCTGATGATTTCGGACATGAGTTTGAACAAAAAAACTAATGAATGCAATGAACAATGACCCCCTTCTTTCTTGTCATGAAATGAGCTCAAAGAGGGAGGTAGAGACGCTTCAAGGTTCATCGAAACATTATTGATTGGCGTATGACGACCCTTGACACAATAGACTCGGCATAACGTCCGGCCGAACCTAAACAATATAACTTATATTCTTTATGTTGGTTGGTTTGTTTTAAGCCAAATTCATTAGTCTATGCCATTCTTTAATCCGTTTGTCCAAGGTGGTGATTACGTCCACTAAATGATAAGCATGTCAAACGGGAAGTGATTCTCAACATGAAAGAGAGACTATGTCGTTGACGATGAATCTCTGTTGAGATTAAGCCATTAAGCATTGATCTCTAGCTTATGTTTTGAATAACCATCAACCGGTTGAAACAACTCTCAAACGAAAGAAATGGATGATAAGTTGCTTATTAAAATGAAGCTCTTAACATGAAAATCAATTAAAGAAAAGTTATGAACAACACACAACAAGCTATATATGAGAATTTATGATACAACAAACAAACTAATCAAAGCTTGAATCAATTAAATAACCTAGGATAGCCCTAAAACAACCCTTAATAGGTGAAAAACAGTGGCTCAAAGTGCATGAAAAGAGCCCAAAAAGCTAAACAACAAGCAAAGAAAATAAGGTTGGTAAGCAAGAACAAGGAGGGGTGGCTAACCCCTCTACCTTTGAAACGTCAAAGCATGATTTTTAGCCTTTTTTAAACTCTGAAAATCAATTTGGAAAGCAAAGAAAAGGGTGTAAAACAAGGGTTTGAGCTATGGGTGAAGGTGCAAGAAAAAGTGTTAACTCTCTCTACCCTTTGATAGCTTTCCAAACTCAAGCTTAGACACTTGAAATGGATCCAAGACAATATAAAAACACAAGAAATAGATAGCAATTGATAGAACAAGGAGTAAAAGAGAAGGTGACTAGCTTATATCTCTCAAAGAAGTAAGCTTTTGTTTGTAACACAAACTTGGTTCAAGCTCACTCTCAAGCTTGAATTGTGATTCACAAAGCTCAACCAAGGTTCTAAGGTGATGCATGGTGTATGGATATTGATCAAGAGAGATAGGTTGGCTCAAAGATGATTGTATAGGAAGAAGGAGCTCTCTCTTGTGTGTATAGATTCTCTAGAAATTTTTCAGCCCTTAAAATAGAGATATCGCCTCGTTTTTATAGAATTCGAGCAAAATAGGTCAAAAATATCTTCAAAAATGGACAGCTGGTCCATTCGGACCCAGAACAGTGTTTCTCGCTATTGAGTGTCGATCGGATCCCAATGGCTATGGCCAACGCCCAAAGTTTTTCCCTGTTCCACTGGTTTAAACTCAATGTAGGGTGGCATGATGTTCAATAATGAATTTGTGGGGCAAAGACAATGTGAATATGAAGGGTTTGGGATTGGTTTTGGAGCGCGCGCTTATGTTCCTTCGTTGAGACTTCAAATCACACTCAACACGACTTCATCATCGAGTGCACAGGACAAAGCATAAGTCTTGCAGGCAGTCAAAAATAGGGTGTCTACAAGTTTCTAGGGTGAAAGTCCCAGAAACCACGCGAAAGGAGGAAAGATGGTGTGAACAAACAGGTGCACCTGCTGTTTTTAACCGATAAGAACAATCCTGACGCATCGAACGCGAAAGGAGGAAAGATTGGTATGAACGAATAGGCGCATCTGTCGTTTTTAACTAATGAAAGCACTCCTACTGCATCGTACACAAAAAGAGGGAAGATGGGTGTGAACGAACAGGCGCACCTGCCGTTTTTAACTGAGAAAAGCAATCCTGACGCGTCGCACGCGAAAGGAGGAAAGATGGTGTGAACAAACAGGTGCACCTGCTGTTTTTAACCGATAAGAACAATCCTGACGCATCGAACGCGAAAGGAGGAAAGATTGGTATGAACGAATAGGCGCATCTGTCGTTTTTAACTAATGAAAGCACTCCTACTGCATCGTACACAAAAAGAGGGAAGATGGGTGTGAACGAACAGGCGCACCTGTCGTTTTTAATTGAGAAAAGTAATCCTGACGCGTCATACGCAAAATGAGGAAAGATGGTGTGAACAAACAGGCGCACCTGCTATTTTTAACCGAGGAGAACAATCCTGACGCGTCGCGTGCGAAAGGAGAAAAGATGGTGTGAACAAATAGGTGCACTTATTGTTTTTAACAAGGTGAACAATCCTGACGCGTCGCACGCGAGATAAGGAAAGGTGGTATAAACAAACAGGCGCACCTGCTATTTTTAACCAAGGCGAACAATCTTGACGCTTCGCACGTGAGAGGAGAAAAAGTTGGTCCGACGAAGAAGCAAACAACTTCAGCATAGAACGAGATAAACTCATCCCTAGGGAGGCCTCAGAGAAGGAAGCCATGAACCCTAACAGGCAAAATAATAAACACAAACTCACAATTCAAAAAGGAATGCAGCAATCTGAAACCAAGCTTGGATTAGCAAATTTAAGAACAAGTTTGTCAATTAAATGCTCAAAACAATGAGATGATGGACCAAAGCATGAATTGACGAAGCGAGTAGCGAAATAAGTATGACCTCGGAACAACTTTAAACAAAACAAATTACAAGCCCAACTACGAACTGATAAAAAATTTGATTAAACAATTACAAATGTAAACACCTGTGAATGTAACCACCTACGAATTAATCAAATTGAAACCGAGCAAAATACAAAACTCTTCACCTGCTTTTCTATTTCTCCTTTATTTTCTCTCAATTTTTTTACTTCTTTTTTGCTTTTCATATATCTTTTCTCTTGATTTTCCTCTCTTTTATTTTTCTGTTATTTTCTCTTTTTTTATGTTCTCCCCCTTTTTTGCTCACTTTCTTTTTCACTCTTTTCTTTTCTTCTCTTTTCTTTGTTTTTCCTCTCTTTTGTTTTTCTGTTTTTCTGCTTCTACTCACTACATATATATATATATATATATATATTAACCAAAGTCCAACATTGAGATGCATGAAAATAAAATAATATAAAAAAAATGAAATAATAAAAAAAACTGAATTGGTTTGCATTTGGAGCCAACGACACCCAACGAAATACGACCGGGCTAAGGGAGGAGATAGAGGC